TCGCTCCCGTCTCGTCTGTCCGGAGCCTATAAGGGAGTTGAAGCCGGCACGCAGGGCGCGGGTATGGAGGGGCCGTCTAGCCAACGTCCTCTCATACCCTTGTGAGGGGGGAAAGTTCCCTCGCGAACTCTAGCCTGGGGCCATGGTGAGCGACCGATCGGGTCGGCACGCGCCTGGACCCCGGGGTGAGTATAAAACTTTCGCATCTTAGTGGGCCTGGCCGCCTCCAGGAATCAGTTTACCTAGAGTCACCAGGGCGAGATAGGGGTGGCACCCGAAAACAGCTTCTCTGTTTCTCGCCATTTAAATAGGGTTTTAATTCACCAGGGATAGATCCCCCACCGAGGTGGGGGTCCCATAATGGGCGAACTGGTTAACAAAAATACATGCACCATGAAATCCTCAACACAAACACAAAAAAACAAAGCGAAAGGGGACAGCCAGGAGAAACTTGGATCGCAGCTTAAAAGAGAGCTGCAGATCCAACTGCAGAGGTTGACTGAAAGTGAAGCCAACATCTCTGATGAGAAGAAAGACCCCGCAGGCGACAAACCATCGACGAGGTTTGTCCGCAACAAGCCCGGACCGTCCAGCTCGAAACCGAAAGAACTGGAAAAAAGAGAAGACCATCTGCACCTGTACGGGACAGATACCGAAATGGACGAGGAGACAGTCATCGCGAACTCAGAGAGTGAGTACTCCTCGGATGACGAAGTCGCGCCTCCCTCACGGAAGCGAAAGCGTGGGAAACCACCAGTGACTGGTGGGGAGGCCACGGCTTCCGGCCCACCCATCGGCTAGGACCACGTCCCCAGGCGATCGGGCCCCGCCTCGGAAACGTCCGAGCGGCCCCGATCCCCGTCTATCTTCCGGCCCACTCCGCGGATCCTGGGAACCAGTTTACCACGGAGGTCCGGAAACGGACCACGTCCGAGTCAACCGCGGGGAGGCCACGGCTTCCGGCCCACCCATCGGCTAGGACCACGTCCCAATACCTCCGGGGTCCGGCTCTCCTCCGCCCGCGAACCCGTCCACGACGAGCCCGCTGACGGAGGAACTCCCCCTTGCCGCCGCCCCCCTGCCGGAACACCGGCGTGCAATGGGTGACGGTGGCCTCCCCCCGGATCCCAGATGCCTGCCGGAACCCGGCGTGCAATGGCACCATCTCAGGGCCTCAAAGAAAAAGGCACATGAGCGGGAGATCAGAAGACTCCGAGCGGAACAAAAGGCTCTAAGGGAAATGCTGAATAGGAGAGAGGGAACTCCCGAGAGAGAGCTAAGAATCCAGTACTTCAGCATGACCCCGGAAATGATAGCTGCGGAAATGCTGGAGAAATTGGAAGCAGTCGAGAGGGTAGCCCGCAGATCAAAAAACTTGAAGGGCACCTTCGTCAAAGGGCTACTCAAGGCGGCGAATGCCCTAAGAGCAGCGGTGGCAATCCTTGCCTCCAAAGGCTCGAACTTCAACACTGGAGTCAAAACGACGGAGGTAAGGTTATTAAGAGAGGAGAAGAATCGGCTGGAGAGAGAAGTGGCGGAATTAAAGAAGGAGAGAGAAGAGAGAGTCACGAGAGCCACAGGGATGACTATGGGGGTTTGCGAAGAAGAGGGGGAGGAAATGGACTTAACGGTTGACGAAATCTCGACTCCTCCCCAAACGGCCATCCAGACCCCCTCCTACATAAGAAAGGAGGTACACGAGCGTGGGAGAAAAGATGGAGCTCTCCGGCCGTTGCTTCAGGGTAAAAGGAAAGCCTTGGAGGCTAAGACTGGCGACGCCAAGGCGGGGGTGAAACGTGTGATGGAGGGAATCTCCATCACTGCTGTCACCGAGGGGGAGGACCCTACTGTGGTTAGAAAAAGGCTGCGAGATGTAATCCTGAGGTGTCAGGGGGCAATGGCCAGTCTCCCTGACACCCAGTGAGAAGATAACAGAGAGGAGAGTGCGGCAAACCAACGCACTTCAGCCACTGCTTCCTCCAAGACGGCTTTGGCTCTGGCTGCGAGTAAACGGGAAAGGAGCGCGAGAAGAGAAGACCCAGTGGCCAAGAGAAACAAGTCGAAAGGGGGCAAAGGGAAACCACAGCCCCAGAACAAGACCACAGCTCAAGAGGAGGAAAAGGGCAAGAAAGGGCAAGGAGGACAATCCCAGCCCAAACCCCCTCAACAAAAAGAGAGTCTAGACGAGAAGGCTCAAAAGAGGAACCAGGAGAAAAAGCAGCAGGGAGCGGAACCCCCAAGGAGTACCAAGGGGACATATGCCGACGCTGCCAAGAAATCCCAGGCCAGGAAGCAAGTGGGCCCTGGCGCTGCAGCTTCCCAGCCAACTCGGAAAAATCCCGTGGAGGCAGGAAAGGGAGGCGGCGCGAGCCAACTGGTAAAGGCCCAAGTCGGGTCGAGCAAGGGAGCCCAACGGCCGCAACAACAACAGCGACGCAGGGCCCCGAAGACGGAAGCGATCACCCTCACTTTCCCCCCCGGACAATACGCCCAAGGGATGAGGGAGGTGAGGGAAAAAGTAAACCTGGAGACACTCGGTATAGAGTCCCTCAGGCAGAGGAGGGCACTAACGGGGGCCATGATCTTAGAGATCTCGGGACCCGAAAATGCCCGGAAAGCGAACCTCCTGGCATCGGAGATCTGCAAGGCCGTGGGCGAAAGAGAAGGAGTAAAGATCTCCCGACCGACCAGGCATGCGGAGATCCGCGTCAAGGATGTGGACGAATCGGTCACACAGGCCGAAGTTGCAGAGTCAGTAGCACGAGCGGGGGGCTGTGACCCATCGGAAATCAAGGTGGGAAATCGGCGCGAGACCCCATTCGGAATGGCCACGATATGGGTCCAGTGCCCCGTGGCAGCGGCGAACAAGGTCGTTGAAGCCAGGCGGATTAAGATCGGCTGGGCGGCAATGAGAGCGGAGTTGCTGGAAGCACGCCCCCTCATCTGTTTCAGATGCTTGGAGAGGGGGCATGTGCGTCAACAGTGCCGCAGCCAGATCGACAGGAGCAATCTGTGCTATAGGTGCGGACGCGAGGGACACCGAGCACAGGGCTGCAATGCAGAACCCCAATGCACCGTGTGCAGCGCAAGAGGCCTCCCGGTCAAACATAAGGCCGGGGGAGCTTCGTGCCCTCCAATGTCAAAAAACGCCAAGAAGAAGGCAAGACAGACGGAGGCACGAAGGCAAAAGGAGGTAGCTGACACAGGGGCTCCCCTTACCGACCTCGGTGAGGCGATGGAGGTGGAGACATCCAATGCAGCAGAGACTGCGTCACCAACCGTGGCTAGAGGAGAAAGAGGCCAGGAGGAGGCCTCAAAACCAGCGCCTTCGCAGCAATGAAGGTGCTGCAAGTGAACTTGAACCGCTCCCGCCTGGCCCAAGATATGTTCTTACACAGCATGGCCGAGCGGGGGTGCGGTTTGGGAATTGCGGCCGAGCCTAACCGAGTGCCCAGACACCCGTGTTGGGCGGGCAGCGAGGACGGCTCGGTCGCGATCACATGGAGAAGGATAGGGGACACGCATGTCCACACGTCCAAGATTGGCGGGGGAGAAGGCTGGGTCGCAGTCAAGTGGGGGCCCCTGGTGGTACTGGGGATCTACCTCAGACCCAGCCTCTCCCGCTACGAATACGAGGACAGGCTAAAGTCCCTCGAGGAGTGGATCAGAGACTGCCTCCCCGCCCCGCTGATGGTCGCCGGCGACTTTAACGTCAAATCGGCGTTATGGGGGTCCCGGCGACCGGACGCGAAGGGGGGGGACTTGGTGGAGTGGGCGACCCGACTGGGTCTCCACCTTCACAACGTGGGCACAACAAGTACGTGCGTAAGACCGCAGGGGGAATCGATCATCGACCTTACGTGGTCATCCCCTGCGGCCGCAAGATGGGTCACATCTTGGCGGGTGGCGGAAGAGTTAGAAATCCTCTCCGACCACCTGCCGATAGAGGTGGAGCTCCGGCGGGATCAGAGCAGGAGGCCGGATGCGGGCCGCCCACTTAGATGGGCGGCACGCAAACTTGACCCCGACCGTCTTACGGCGGCCCTTGTCGCAGCAACTTGGACAAGGGAACCGGGAGCGGGAGGGATAGAAGAAAAAGCGGCGTGGCTACGGGAAACAATGACGGCGGCGTGCGACGCCGCCATGCCCCGGGCCACATTTGCCGCGAGGAAGGCGGCGTACTGGTGGACGGAGGAGATAAATGATCTTCGGAAAGCCTCCGTCCGGGCCAGACGCGCCCTCCAGAGAGAAAGAAGGAGAAGGACTCCCTCCAGGAACCGATTGGAGGAACTCCACGAGGAATATAGGGAACGGCGGGCTGAAATAAGGCTAGCCATTAAAAAGTCCAGGGAGAGGGTGGGAAGAGATGCTCCTCTCCCTGGACGAGGATCCGTGGGGGCGCCCCTATAAGATGGTGATGAACCGTCTCTGTAGTGGGGCGCCCCCAACTGTCGAGACACTCGACCCGCCGTTTCTAGAACGCGTGGTTGCCACCCTATTTCCCCAAGTAGATGGGGACGGGCCGGAGCTTGAGGAAGAAGAGGAGTCACGGGATATGCCGGAGGAAATCGAGGTCTCGGAACAGGAGCTCGCCACAGCAGCTAGGAAGCTAAAGACGGGCAAGGCTCCAGGACCCGACGGCATCCCAGGTGTGGCATGGAAGGTGGCCCTGGGGGAGCTCTCTGGGAGGTTGCGAGACCTGCCTCACAGAGGGCTCCTTCCCGGGACTGTGGAAGGAGGCCAAGCTGGTCCTTCTTCCAAAAGAGGGGAAACCCGGGGATAGCCCCTCGAGCTACCGGCCTATATGTCTCCTGGACGAAGCGGGTAAAATCTTCGAAAGAGTGATTGCCACCCGCCTAGTCCGGAGTATTGAGGGACCTGAGGGTGGCGGCCTTTCAGATAGGCAATATGGGTTCAGAGAGGGACGCTCAACGGTGGACGCAATCCAGAGAGTGAGGTCCCTCTCTGAACAGAGGATAAACGAGGGAGGAGTTGTAATGGCGATCTCGCTCGATATAGCGAACGCCTTCAACTCTCTCCCTCACAAGGAAATAAAGCGAGCTTTAAAGGAGAAGGGAGTCCCCTACTACTTGCGTAGGGTGATAGGGGACTACCTGGACGGGAGAAACATCGTGTGTGAGGATAGAGATGGCGAGAAGAAACAGTGGAGAGCAGGTTGCGGCGTCCCGCAGGGATCGGTGCTGGGCCCGATCCTGTGGGATGTCGCTTACGACAGGGTCTTGAGGACTGCCCTCCCCACCGGCTGCACAATGATGTTACGCAGATGATACGTTGTTGCTGGCCGGTGGGGAGGATTGGGAAGAGGCTACACTAAATGCCAACATTTCCGTCGCCGGCACGGTGAGAGTTATAACCGCGCTGGGGCTTCGCGTGTCTGCCGGGAAGACGGAGGCGATATTCCTCCATAATAGAAGGCGGGGCCCCCCACCGGCGACGGAGATCAAAGTAGAGGGCGCCCGCGTCCGGGTGGGGACCCACTTAAAGTACCTGGGTTTCCACCTGGATGAGAAGTGGAGGTTCGGGGAGCAG